GCACCACACCGTGCAGTATCGTCTTATCGAAGCAGACATCGACCGCAGGGATACCACCCTAGAATGTCAGGGCATCGCTATCCGGTCAGGCGATGTCGAGCTCGAAATATTTAACATATACATACCCCCTGTCACCTGCTGCCCGGCAGGATATCACCCTGATATAGGTGCGCTCCTCAGAGGTGAAAACCGTATGGTAGTAGGTGACTTTAATGCGCACCACGATCTTTGGCACTCAAGCCTGTCAAACGATCGTAGGGGAACAGACTTGGCTGAGCAGATAGACGATTCGACATTCTGCACAATGAACGACGACGCACCCACCAGGATTATGGGTAACTGCAGTAGCTTGCCAGACATCACAATTGTTAGCGCTGGTCTGATAAACAGCATAACATGGCGACCAATGCTGACTCTAGCATCAGACCACCTACCCCATAGTCATCTCGATAGATAAATCAACCGACTTTGCCTCCGCCAAACACCGGACCTATATCAACTTTTCTAAAGCTGATTGGAAAGGTTACGCGGAGTTTATCCACAATCTGATCTAAGCTCTGTCCTTTCTCTAAAATTTTTTTTCTTCAGGTCGACTGGAGCCCATGAGTATAATTTTATCTTTAATACAAATTTCATTTATTTCCGCTGTCGTTTTGCCAAACTCACACTTTGAAACCTGACGTCGAAGATGTAACAAGTATTTATTGAAGTTTTCACCTTCAATAGTTGACAAATTCCGGAAGGGGTGTCTCTCGAAAGTGGAGTTGCGTTTTGGCGAGAAATATTCGTTAAGTTTAGCCACTAATACTACAAAGGGGTGTACTTCCTCGTTCCCCTCTACTAAAACATCAGGAATGTTAAAGGCTACTTCTTACAGTTGTGGGCCGCCCATATGCAGTAATTTATTCTTCTTCTTCACTACATCACTTATGTCATCGGCCTGGAGATATAGGGAAAAGGATCGAAACCACTTTTCCCATTCTGACCGTTCAAGTGCTTTGTCTATATTGTTACACAAAAATTGACGAATTTCCATTAGTTCTATTTCGTATTTTACGTACTACTAGCTAAATTTGTACTTGTGGATTTCTTTCCACCTTGTATCAATGTGTATGCTGTTGTTGGAATCTCGTTACACCTGATGTTGCTGACAAAATTTAATTTGTCACTGTTTAGACAAAAAATCATATTGCAAAAATACAACACTTTAATTTATTAATAATTTCTTAATGTAAGTTCGTCAACTTAAATTTATAATAGAAAAATATTAAATTGTATTATTTGGCAACACTGTAAACTTAACGATAAGATTTCCTTTTTTTTTGCTATTCTCTCTTTATATACTTTTCGCCAACTGTCACTTTGTATTACCTTTGTTGAGAACGAGTGGTTTTTTGCCTCTCATGTACAAGTCGGTAAAATCTTTAAGTTTACAATAAAACTCTAATTGAATTTTTAATGAAAAAGAACTCGTCCGATTTATTTAAGAATCATCGCTCAAAACATACTGGTCCTTCGCACCGGATCGGCCGTGTGAAACATTAAAAAAAAAAGAGTGCCGACCTTCATTTGACTCTGTGATTTTTGTGACTTTCTCTTGACCTTATCATCTCAGCAAATCAAGAAGCGTTAATAGACAAGCAAAATGACCTTCATGAGCTCATTAACAGTGCCGTTGAAAAACTTCGATCTCTTGGTGATGGAAAAATTACACGTGCTCAGATACAAACTCGAATGTCCATCCTGGATGCAAATTGGAAGAAATTTCAAGAAGGTCATGAACGTTTAACTAATACCTTACCGCTGCTATCAAAGAAGCTCCATATTTTGCAAATAATTTGTATTCTCAATGCCAGGAAACCTATGCTGATGCTCGATCGACTATGCTGACATCTGCTGGAATTGAACTTGCCGATCAGTCCATGAACCTGGGGCAAAGTTATGTTCATCATACAAGATCGCTTCCGAAAATTCAATTGCCTATCTTTAATGGGGAATATTCACGTTGGCGCAATTTTCACGATCTTTTTACGTCAATAATTGGCAGTAGCTCTGATTTAACAACAGTAGAAAAATTTCATTATCTAAAAACAAGCCTCAAAGGTGAAGCTGCACAGCATGTAGCTAACCTTGCAGTTTCAAATGAAAGTTTTGCGCGCGCATGGGATATCATAGTTGCAAGATATGAAAATAAGAGGTTGCTTATTGACGCTCAACTCGATATCATTTTTAAACTCCAACCTATTGAAAGAAAATCTTCAGGAGAGCTTAAGAATCTCTTAGCAGTATTCAAAGAATCTCTGGGCGCCTTGAACTCACTTGGTGCTCCTACCGATCACTGGGATTTTATTATTGTCTACATGATAGTTCATCGACTATATGCAGACTCGCACGAAGCTTGGAAAATACATCGTGGTGCAACGGTGACACCTGCTTCACTTACTCAATTCTCATCTAGAAATCCGTCATCGTCAGCATGCCCTCTCTCAAGCCATAATAGAAAAACCAGGGCGCGAAAGTTAATGTGGCCTCAGTCAATACCATATTAACACCCGTACAAAGTAGTAATCGTGCTACTTTCTCGAACAACTGTTCCATGTGTAACAACTCTCACTACATCTCTACTTGTCCAACGTATCGCAGTCTAGATGAAAATTAACGTAAGGAACTTCTAGTTGAAAAAAGATTATGTTTCAATTGTCTCGGTCCTCATCGCCTAGCTACCTGTCGGTCAACAAAGCGTTGTCAAATATGCGGCGCGCAATATCACACATCAATTCATAGTGCGAGTTCCAGCTCTAAACAGCTGACGTCTTCCCCATCATCAGGTACTGCATCAAGACCAGCTCCAGCTGATAGTGTTGAAAAACCCCAGTTCATCACAAATCAAGCCATACCACGTCCATCCGTCAAAGTGGTGCGAACTCTGTTGGCATCTGCGCTCGTTAGGCTGTTTTCTCCACAAGGTAAGCAGCTGCAAGTTCGTGCTCTACTTGGCCCCGGCTCGCAGATTACAATTATCAATGAAGCGGCTACACAAAATCTTTATCTTAAACGTCAAAAGGCAAGTATTCCCCTCTATTGAGTTGGTGCACACTCATCAAGTACAACTAGAGGTATAGTAAGCTTTTCCCTAAAGCCGCATTTTAACTCAAGTTTAAAATGGGACGTCTCAACGTACATTTTACCAAAGCCTACGGCTGAAATACCATCGTTAGAATTCGAGCACAATGATTGGCCGCATTTGCGCGGACTTACGCTAGCTGATCCTTACTATTTGAAGACTGGTCAATCGATCTTATCATTGGCATAGATCTGTATTCGGATTTAATTGAACCTGAACTTGTTAAAGGAAACTCAAATTCTCCATTTGCCAGGCGTACTTCACTTGGCTGGATAATATCAATTCCTCTTAGCGAATATAGAAAGATGACTCAACCCATCCAAAGCTATCAATGTTCGATTGATCATGACTTACACGCTGCGCTTCAACGATTTTGGGTTCAAGAAGAAGCGCAACTATCCGCAAAAACTATCCTTTCTAAAGAAGGGTGTGAAGATCATTTTTGTAACAGCCACTCAAGAAACCCATCGGGGAGATATGTAGTTCGTCTTCCCTTCAAGAAGTCACCGGAGGCCATAGGAGACTCTCGACCTGCTGCCTCTCGAATGCTGTCTAGCATGATAAGACGCTTCTCATGTGATCACAAGTTAAAATCTCTATACTCTGACTTTTTAAGGGAATTTGAGTCGCTGGGTCATATGATACGCGTACCAGAAAGCATCCCTGAACCACAACAGTATTACTACTTGCCACATCACGGCTTTCTTAAAGAATCTAGCAGTTCTACTAAGCTGCGAGTTGTTTTTAATGGGTCACGTCGCACAAGTAGTGGCTGTTCTCTGAATGATCTCCTTCACATCGGTGCCAAGCTGCAGACAGACTTATCCGATGTGATTTTGTGGTGGCGACAATTTTCGCAAGTCTTTTCAGCCGACATGGAGATGATTTTTCGGCAGATTTTGGTTCATCCAGATGATCAGCGTTTTCAGAGAATTCTTTGGTCACCAGAATCATTTCAGAAGCCTTTAACATATCAGTTGGCCACTGTTACTTACGGACTTGGTCCAGCGCCTTTCTTAGCAAACCGCGTAATTAAGCAATTAACCAAAGATGAAGGACATCGCTTTCCCCTCGCAACAGATGTTTTACTACGTGGGACTTACGTGGATGATTGCTTTGGCGGAGCGGATTCCCCTCAAGATGCAAAGGAGGTGATTCAACAGCTAGACAACCTTTGCAAATCAGGTGGTTTCAACCTACTTAAATGGACAGCGAATGATTCAACGATCTTGGCTGATCTCTTAATCACGCGTCATACCTCTTCAACATCAAGACTCCTCAATGGGAGTCCTGGAATCAACTTCAAGATATCTCTCACATCTCCATTCCTCGTTGGATCGGAACCTCTGCAAACATGCTCACTTTGGAAATACATGGCTTTTCCGATGCCTCTCGAGACGCTATGGCAGCTGTTGTTTATCTTCGTGTACTTAACGAAATGAATGATGCTACAATTTCTCTCATTACAGCAAAAACAAAAGTTGCCCCAATCAAGAAAATGACGGTTCCTAGGCTTGAACTTTGCGCTGCAACTCTACTTACAAAACAGTTGGCTCACGTTGGAGAAGTGCTAAATATATCGCAAGCACCAATCCATTTATGGACTCATTCGTCAGTAAATCTCGCCTGGATTCAAGCTCATCCATCACAGTGGAAAGATTATGTTCGAAATCGTGTTGTCACTATCCAAGAAACTCTGCCTCAAGCAACATGGAATCACATCTCTGGTAAGGAGGTGTGTCACTTGATCAGCTAGAAAAAGACTGTCTATGGTGGACTGGACCAAAATGGCTTTCTCAACATCCTTCTTTATGGCCGTCATGCGATTACCAGCGTGAGCATGATGTCGACCTTGAAGAAAAACTTCAGGTCATTGCTGTTGTCGCTCCCCAAAACCCGAAGATCTGGAATCTCGTTGAACGTTACTCAAATCTTACTAAATTACTGAAAATCACAGCGCTATGCCAACGTGCGATTAAAATACTGCAAAGGAAAGCTGACATACCCAAACAATCAACTTTAACGCCAACTGAGCTTGAAACGGCTCGACTTTATTGGGTGAAGCTAACTCAACAGGCTTATTTCTCAAAGGAGATCTTAACGCTCTCCCAAAATATCATTTTATCAAATACAAACCCTCTTAACAAATTAATTCCATTTATAGATGCCTCAGGTAAGCTTCGAGTTGGCGGGCGGCTCGGAAACGCTCTCCTCGATCCTGATACAAAACACCCCGTAATTTTACCGCGCGAATCACCATTAACAACTCTAATCATAAGCAATGCGCATCATAAAACTCTTCATGGAGGAACACAAGCTACCTTAGCCTATCTGCGAAGATCATACTGGATTATCGGAGGTAGCTCTCCTGTGCGATCATTCATTTTACGCTGCGTTCGCTGTGCTCGATATCGCGCTGTCACCGCCCAACAACTCATGGGACAGCTACCATCAACCCGAATCACCCCAGCAAGACCATTTTTAAATTCTGGCGTAGATTATGCTGGCCCGTTTACTTTAAAAACTTCGAGAGCAAGAGCTGCTAAAACGTATAAGGGGTATATTGTGCTTTTTGTCTGCTTTGCTACCTCAGCTATTCAGCACGAAATCGCGACAGACTACTCTTTAGAAGGTTTTTTGGCAGCTTATAAAAGATTCACCGGGCGCCGAGGAATCTGCGCAACTCTTCATAGTGACTGCGGTACTGATAGGCGCTGACGCCGAGCCTCGGAAACTCTTTTCGCGGGCATCAAATGAGTTATCTAACCTCGCCTCCTTACTTGCAAATGATGGAACCGAATGGAGATATAACCCACCTGCAGCTCCACACTTCGGCGGAAAATAGGAACCTGGCGTGACGTCGGTCGAGTTCCATTTAAAACGTATAATTGGAGACACCTCTATTACTTATGAAGAATTTTCCACTCTACTAGCACAGATCGAAGCCGTTCTTAATTCTCGGCCGTTATGCCCACTCTCCGATGATCCAAACGACATCAATGCGTTAACACCAGGGCATTTTCTCATCGGCTCAGCACTCACCACTGTGCCAGAGCCATCATTGATAGACATTGCAGTCTCACGACTTTCTCGATGGCAATTGCTCAGGCAAATGCTTGAGCACTTTTGGCATCGTTGGTCTTCGGAATACATTCAACGCTTTTATGCAATATCTAAGTGGAAGCAGGCAACAGATCCAATAAAGAAGGGAGCGCTTGTGCTGCTTGTGGATGTAAGATTTCCTCCAGCGAAATGGTTGCTTGGCCGTATCATCGATGGACATATTCGCGTAGTAACTGTCAAAACAAGGGATTCAACGCTAGAGCGCCCAGTAGTTAAACTGTGCCCGCTTCCAGTACTTGCTACAAGCTCAACATTATCGACTGCTTAATCTAATTGAAGTTATATATTTCGTCCCCTATACGGTGACAAGGCGGGGGTTGGATTTTCATTTTCATTTATTAAATGTACAACCATTAATACAATAAGATATAATCTTTTATAGTACAACAAATTGCTGATTTAAATATAGAAAAAGAGAAAAGAATACGTACATACATTTGCAAACTTAAGAATAAAAACAAGGACAAATAAATAAACTAACATTATAATTATAATCCCTAAACAATTAAGGGTACTAGGACAAAAAATCATATTGCAAAAATACAACACTTTAATTTACTAATAATTTCTTGATGTAAGTTCGTCAACTTAATTTATAATAGAAAAATACTACATTGTATTATTTGGCAACACTGTAAACTTAACGATAAGATTTCCTTTTTTTGCTATTCTCTCTTTATATACTATTCGCCAATTGTTACTTTGTATTACCTTTGTTGAGAACAAGTGGTTTTTTTCCTCTCATGTACAAGTCGGTAAAATCTTTAAGTTTACAATAAAACTCTAATTGAATTTTTAATGAAAAAGAACTCGTCCGATTTATTTAAGAATCATCGCTTAAAACAGTCACCCTCAGTGTATTTATTGCTGACAAAATTGAATTCGTCACTATCTGATCTGAAATCAGAAATGTAATCGTTTGTATATATATTCATATGTACAATTATAACGGGTGATTTTTTTGAGGTTAGGATTTTCATGCATTAGTATTTGACAGATCACGTGGGATTTCAGACATGGTGTCAAAGAGAAAGATGCTCAGTATGCTTTGAAATTTCATCATGAATAGACTTACTAACGAGCAACGCTTGCAAATCATTGAATTTTATTACCAAAATCAGTGTTCGGTT